TATTCTTATGAGTTGGAACAAAAAACAATTTGGCCACTCTGATCAAAATTAATTAAATTTTCTGTTGTGTGAATGTGAGTATGTTGAAATGTGTGGATGTTGTGTGGCAACCAGCAGCAGAATGGCACACTGCCGCTGAGCCGGACAGTGCCCAGCTGTGATATATAGTTAGCATGAGTCCTTTTCTTATGATTGGTGGTGCCATCTTTCCAAACACCTCTTTACTTCCAGGTCTCAAGGCAGACTCATCGCAAAATTGAACCACTCGTAACTTCAGGACACTTAATTGTTTGTTTTTGTAATACTTTCAATAATAATAAGCTCTGTTTTTAAAGGTGGCATCTCTGATAAATTAGGACATTTACTTGTATTTTGGTTATCTTTCTATTCCCAATGACAGCTATGGAGTTAGAAAGAATAATTATTTCTCACAAGTTAATGTTACGTTTACATTGGTTTCACTCTGAGCGCTCTCTCTCTCTCTCTATCTGTAACTCTCTCCCCTTTCTGCCAAGTTTATTTTTGAGTAAAACTATGTAGAACTGTGCTTCTCATATGGCAGGTCTATATTAAGAAAACAACATCTTCATATTTTGTATTGATAAATTTCAGCTGTAAGATGTTGTAAATACAACGTGCATCATGTTTCTCTGAAAAGTGCAATTTACTTATTTATCCCCTCCTATGCCTACCAAGACCCAAATTTTCAAAAAAACAGGGAGAAGGAAACACAAAATTATTTATACACTAAAATGGTACTCATTCTTCACCTAGAGTCCCTGTTAGTACCGTTTAAGTAGGTAGTTTTCTCAGTGCCATATATTTGTAAAAGTTATGGAAGTCTTTTGTTTAAAGGGATAGTAGAAAAGTGAAAGTGAAAAATAAGTGAAGAAGTCTTTCTGACACCTCAAAATCAGAACTAGTAGAAATTTTGAAGGCACTTAATAGTATATTGTCATACTAAGCAAAACTGGAACCCTTCTCCCCTCTCCATCTGAAATTGAAGTCACCATGTAAAAAGATCCAAGCATGGCTGTCTGACCATGAAAGTTTGCACTCTGTACACAGAGATCATCCTTATCAATCTCCGAGAAAAAAATATACATCTACATCCAAATTTAATTTGTCCTTTAAAATATGGAGTGCCATCCAAAGGACTCTTTCTTTTTGTCTTTTGATGGGAATCACCTAAGAAGAATAGAAATACAGATCAATACCCATTTATATGATAAAACACATCTAAGACTTCAACAATCTTAGTTAAAAAGGTTCAAAATTAAATCTGACCTTTAATACTTGCATTGAGGGATATCACAGAACAGAACAGTCATTTTTACATTATTTCAGAAGCTAGG